AAAAAATCCCCAAAAAATCCCAAAAAATCCCAAAAAAATCCCAAAAAAATCCCAAAAAATCCCCCAAAAATCCCCAAAAAATCCCAAAAAAATCCCAAAAAATCCCCAAAAAATCCCAAAAAATCCCAAAAAAATCCCCAAAAAATCCCCAAAAAAATCCCAAAAAAATCCCAAAAAATCCCCCAAATTCCCAGAACCTCCCCCAAGCCCAATCCCATGGAATTTGCATGGAATTGCGGGAATTCCCGGAGCACTGACGGGCGCTGTTGAGGAGGTGGCGCAGGACGAGCAGGGATCCCACGCGGAGCCGCTCGGAGCCGCTCTCCAATTTGGGGAGCAGGAAAAGCAGGAGCCGATCCGGGAAAGGGAAAGCTGGGGAAAAATTGGGATAAAAATGAGGGAATTTTGGGAATGTGGGATGGGAATTGCAGATGGGAATTGAAGGGGGGGATGGGGGGAGCGGGGGTTGAGGAGGGATGGGGAAATGAGGGGAAATTGGGGAAAAATGGGAATAAAAAGGGGGAAATTGGGGGGGAAATGAGGGAAAAATTGAGGGAAAATTGGGGAAAAATTGGGGAAGTTGGGGAATAAATTGGGGAAAAAATTGGGGGGAAAGTGGGGGAAATGAGGGAAAAATTTGGGGAAAAATTGGGGAGAAATTGGGGAAAAAATTGGGAGAAAATAGGGAGGAAATTGGGGAAAATTGGAGAAAAAAGGGGGGAATTGAGGAAAGATTTGGGGAAAAATAAGGGGAAAATTGGGGGAAAATTGGAGAAAAAATGGGGGGAAAAAGGGGAAATAATTGGGGAAAATTGGGGGAAAAATTGGGGAAAAATTGGAGAAATCTGGGGTGAAAATGAGGGAAAAAAATGGGGAAAAATTGGGGAGAAATTTGGGAAAAATTGGGAAGAAATTGGGAGGAAATCGGGGAAAATTGGAGAAAAAATGGGGGGAAAAATTGGGGAAAAATTGGGGAGAAATTTGGGGAAAATTGGGAAGAAATTGGAAGGAAATTGGGGAAAATTGGAGAAAAAAGGGGGGAATTGAGGATAAAGCTGGGTAAAAATTGGGAAAAAAGGGGCAAAAATTGAGGAAAAAAATTGGGGGAAAATTGGGAGAAAATTGGGAAAAATTTGGAGAAAAATAAGGGGGAAATTCAGGAAAAAATGGGGAAAATTGGGGGAAAATTGGGGGAAAATTGGGGGGAATTTGGGGAAAATTGGGAAAAAACTGGGGAGAAACTGGAGGAAAATTGGGGAAAAACTGGGGAAAAATGAGAAAAATTGAGGAAAAATAAGGGGAAATTTTTTTTTGGAAAAAATTGGGGGAAAATTGGGGAAAAAAATTGGGGGAAAATTGGGGGAAAAAATTGGGAAAATTGAGATAAAAATATGGAAGAAATAGGGAAGGAAAATAGAGGAGAAAAAAATGGGAAAAGGAGAAAAAATTGGAATAAAAGGGTGAAATTGGGGGAAATTTGAGAAAAATTTGGGTAAAAAATGGGGAAAAAGAGGAAAAAAATGAGGGAAAATGGGGGAAAACTGGGAAAAATGGGGAAAATAGGGAAAAATTAGGAAAAATTGGGGAAAAAGCAGGAAAATTAAGAAAAATTGGGGGTAAATGGGGGGAAATTGGTTAGAAAGGAGAAAAATTGGGGAAAAATGGGGAAAAAAGGGGAAGAATTGGTTAAAAAGGGGGGAAATTGGGGGGAAAAAAGGAAAAATTGAGGGAAATTGGGTAACAAGGGGGAAAATTTGGGGGAAAATTGGGAAAAAATAGGAAAATTGAAGTAAAAAGAGGAAAATTGGGAAAAATTGAGGAAAAATTGAGGAAAAAGGAGGGAAAATTGGGATAAAGGGAGGGAAATTGAGGAAAAAGGAGGGAAATGGGGGAAATTTGGATTCTTTGGGATTTCCCAGTTCCAAAGGCTCTGGAAAATCCTTGGGAATTGTGGGAATTGCTCACCCAGGACGGAGAAGCAGCGCAGGAGCTCCGTGTGGTTCTTGGCGTTTGTGGGAATGTTGGGATCGGCCGGAGCGCAAATCTGGGGGAAAATGGGAAAAAAAACAATGGGAAAATCCAGGGAAAAGGTGGGAAAAATTAGGGAAAATATGGGGGGAAAATGGGGAAAATTCAGGGAAAAAAACTGGGAAAAATCAGGGGAAAACAGGAGAAAAAACTGGGAAAAATCTGGGAAAAAACCTGGGAAAATCAGGAAAAATCTGGGAATAAACAGGGAAAAAGCAGGGAAAATCTGAGGGAAAACCTGGGAAAATCAGGGAAAATCTGGGAAAAATCCGGGGAAAATCGGGAAAGATCTGGGAAAAACCTGGGGGAAATCCGCGGGAAAATCTGGGAAAAGTCAGGGAAAATTTGGGAAAAATCATGGATTAATCTAAGAAAAATTTGAGAAAAATTCAGGAATAATGCTGGGAAAATATGGGAAAAATGCTGTAAAAATCCAGGAGAAATCCAATAAAAATCAGGGGAAATGCCAGGAAAAGTCCTGGAAAAATCTGAGAAAAATCCAGGAAAAGTCCTCAAAAAATCCTGGAAAAAATATGGGTAAAACATGGGAAAAAATCTGGGAAAAATCCAGGAAAATACCAGAAAAATCTGAGGAAAAGTCCCCCAAAAATCCCAAAAAGAATATGGGGAAAATCCTGAAAAAATACAGGAAAAATAAGAGAAAGACGCAGGAAAAATCTGGGAAAAATCCAGGAAAAATCGCTGAAAAATCCTGAAAAAAATCTGGGAAATTTATTGGAAAATCCTGAAAAAATACAGGAAAATTATGGGAAAAACCTGGGAAAAACAAAGGAAAAAATCCCAGAAAAATCCCCCAAAATCCCTTAAAAAAACCTGGAAAAATAAGGGAAAAATCGGTAAAAAACCCAGGAAAAATCTGGGAAAAATCCTGGAAAATTACAGAAAAATTATGGGAAAAACCCGGGGAAAATCCTGGAAAAATCCCACAAAAGTCCTGAAAAAATCCTGGCAAAATCCCAGAAAAATCTCTGAAGAATCTCCAGAAAATCCTGAAAAAATCTGGAAAAAATTCTGGAAAAATCCAGGAAAAATCCCAGAAAAATCCCGGAAGAATTCAGGAAAGCTCCTAAAAAAATCTGGGAAAAACTCTGAAAAAATCCAGGAAAAATCTCCGAAAAATCTGGGAAAATTCCCAGAAAAATTCTAAAAAAATCCCAGAGAAATCCGGGAAAAATCCGGGGAAAATCCAGGAAAAATCCCAAAAAAATCCTGAAAAAATACGGGAAAAATTCTGAAAAAAATCTGGGAGAAATCCCAGAAAAATCCAGGAAAAGTCCCAGAAAAATTCTGAAAAAATCTCAGAAAAATCCTGGGAAAATCCTGGAAAAATCCCTGAAAACCCCCAAAAAATCCTGAAAAAAATCTGGGAAAAATTCGGAAAAAATCCTGAAAAAAATCCAGGAAAAATCCCGGAAAAATCCTGAAAAAATCCAGTAAAAAGCCAAAAAAAAATCCTGGAAAAATCTTGAAAAAATCTGGAAAAATCCTGGGAAAATCTCAGAAAAATCCGGAACAAATCCAGCAGAAATCCAGGAAAAATCCGGGGACTGGAGGAGAATTCCCGGGAATTTCCTGACCTGGGCCAGCAGCGTTCCCAGGAGCGATTCCAGCTGCGCTTCCAAGCTCCGGCTCCCGATTCCCACGGAAGATTCCAGAATCTGGCAGAGGCTCTGTGGGAAGGAGAGAAAAAAATCAGGAAAAATCCAGAATAAAAAGGGAATTTTGGCAATTCCAAGGGGAAAATTCCCAAAAATCTCAGTTTGAGGTTGTTCCTGGTTTTCTTTGGGATCAAATCCTGAATTTCCCTCCTGGATCCCGATTTGGGTCTTTTCAATCTCTCATTTATTTTTTTTTTTTTGGGATGAGGTTTTCCAGTTCTTTGCTGGGATATGAATATGGGAAAAATCCAGGAAAAATCCTGGAAAAATCCTGGAAAAATCCCGGAAAAATCCCAGAAAAATGCAGGAAAAATCCTGGGAAAATCCTGGGAAAATTCTGGAAAATTCTGGGGAAAATCCACGGAAAGCCCAAGAAAAATCCAGGAAAAATCCAGGAAAAATTCAGGAAGAATCCCTGAAAATTCCCTGAAAAACCCAGGAAAAATATGGGAAAATCCAGGAAAAATCCAGGAAAAATTCAGGAAAAATCCAGGAAAAATTCAGGAAGAATCCCTGAAAATTCCCTGAAAAACCCAGGAAAAATATGGGAAAATCCAGGAAAAATCCTGGAAAAATCCTGGAAAAATCCTGGAAAAATCCCAGAAAAATGCAGGAAAAATCCTGGGAAAATTCTGGAAAATTCTGGGGAAAATCCACGGAAAGCCCAAGAAAAATCCAGGAAAAATCCAGGAAAAATTCAGGAAGAATCCCTGAAAATTCCCTGAAAAACCCAGGAAACATATGGGAAAATCCAGGAAAAATCCAGGAAAAATCCTGGAAAAATCCTGGAAAAATCCCGGAAAAATCCCAGAAAAATGCAGGAAAAATCCTGGGAAAATCCTGGGAAAATTCTGGAAAATTCTGGGGAAAATCCACGGAAAGCCCAAGAAAAATCCAGGAAAAATCCAGGAAAAATTCAGGAAGAATCCCTGAAAATTCCCTGAAAAACCCAGGAAACATATGGGAAAATCCAGGAAAAATCCAGGAAAAATCCTGGAAAAATCCTGGAAAAATCCCGGAAAAATCCCAGAAAAATGCAGGAAAAATCCTGGGAAAATCCTGGGAAAATTCTGGAAAATTCTGGGGAAAATCCACAGAAAGCCCAAGAAAAATCCAGGAAAAATCCAGGAAAAATTCAGGAAGAATCCCTGAAAAATCCCTGAAAAACCCAGGAAAAACATGGGAAAATCCAGGAAAAATCCTGGAAAAATCCTGGAAAAATCCTGGAAAAATCCCAGAAAAATGCAGGAAAAATCCTGGGAAAATTCTGGAAAATTCTGGCGAAAATCCACGGAAAGCCCAAGAAAAATCCAGGAAAAATCCAGGAAAAATTCAGGAAGAATCCCTGAAAATTCCCTGAAAAATCCAGGAAAAATCCAGGAAAAATCCTGGAAAAATCCTGGAAAAATCCTGGAAAAATCCCAGAAAAATCCCAGAAAAATGCAGGAAAAATCCAGGGAAAATTCTGGAAAATTTTGGGGAAAATCCACGGAAAGCCCAAGAAAAATCCAGGAAAAATCCAGGAAAAATCCAGAAAATTCCTGGGATAATCAAAGAATAATCTTGGAATAACCCCTGAAAAATCCTGAAATAATCCCCAAAAAATCCTGGAAAAATCTGGAAAAATCTGGGAAAAATCCAGGAAAAATATGGTACAAAATCCTGGGAAAATCCTGGAATAATCCCTGAAAATTCCCAAAAAAAAACTCAGAAAAAAATCTGAAAAAATCCAAGAAAAATCCCAGAAAATTCCAGGAAAAACCCAGGAAAAAAAAATCCAGAAATTTCCTGGAGAAACCCAGGAAAAATCCAGGAAAAATCCCAGAAAAAAATCCAGAAAATTTCTGGAAAAAACCTGGAAAAATCCTGGAATAACCCCTGAAAATTCCCTAAAAAACCCCAGAAAAATCAGGGAAAATCCAGGAAAACCCAGGAAAAATCCAGGAAAAATCCCGGCAAAGCCCGGAAATTTGGGAAAGAATTCCCAGACCTTGGAGATGGGAAAAGGCTCCGGGTGTTTCTTGTAGAGGCCGAGAATTCCCGGCAGGATTTTTGGGAGTTGCTCTTCCAGCTTTTCCTTGGGAATTAAGGAGCTCATGGGGCCCAGGGCTTCCACCACGGCCAAACGCACCTGGAAAAATCCGGGAAAAGAGCGGGAAAATCCCGGAATTCCAACGGGAATCGGAATTAGGGATGGGGAGGAGGAGGAATTCCGGGAATTCCCGAATCCGGGGGGGGGTTCAGGGTTAAAATTCCCAATCCTGAGGGATTGCATTCCCAAAATTCCCAATCCTGTTCCAAATAACCCGATCCAAATATCCCAAATTTCCAAATCTGGGAATTCCCAAATCCCGGAATTCCCGAGTCCCACCATTCCCAAATCCCAGAATTCCCATTCCCACCATTCCCAAATCCCAGAATTCCCACTCCCACCATTCCCAAATCCCAGAATTCCCATTCCCA